TATTCCTTGATAAGTGGATTGATTGTACTTATAAGTAAGCTCCAGAAACTAAATTTTAAAATGTCATTTCCTATAATGAACACCTATTGATTTTGACCGTCTATCATCTCCATTTCCTTTGAGAATAATCTGATTCTGGTGAAGATAACAATCTCTCTCTCTCTCTCTCTCTCTCTCTCTCTCTCACACACACACACACACACACACACGTAGGGTTACAGGGGAGACCCTGCAGGGCCCTGGGCCAGCAAATCACTTAACCATGAGGATTGCTTAAGGGTAAGTATGTGATCCATGCCAGGACTATCAAAGTTCTTCCTTCCTAAATAATGAAACTCTACCTGCCATAGGAGAGAAAGAGGCCAAAACAGAGAGAGAAGCAGAGCTCACTCCCCAGGCTTGCCATACAGAAATACAGAATGTGCGGTCCATCAAGATGAAACGACTTTGCACAGTCAACAGATGGAACAAACCCTGCTTAATTTCCCTATGTTCCCAAAACTCTATACCTTAAAAATCACTTTGTTCAATCCTGCCATTTTACATACGATAAAACTAAGTCCCAGGGAAGAGTAATTATCTCCACAAAGTATTTCACATACAGCAAAGCTAGAATTACATTCCGGGTTGTCGGATTGCCAGGGAAATTCATAAAAACTAGATTAAAGGGAGCTATCAATTTTGTTTGTTTTAGTCAGAAATTACCTCTTGAGTAATTTCAGACACACAAATGAAGACTTTCTGAAAAAATATAATTATAAACCATCTTGATATGCATAGTAAATTATTCAGTATTATATCACAAAATTATTCTCCTTTGCTGGCCATCTTATCATCACTATCTAGATAACTACTATGCCCCTCAGGGTAAGAGTCTACCATCAAACACCGTGAGCAGGAAAGAGGCCATCCGAGGGAAGACTGAGCATAGACAACAAATCTGGAGAACTGCCTCCTAATTCAATTACAGTCCAAGCGCCAGGCCATCACCTCTCAGAGCACATTCCATGGAACACTGGGGAACCACAAGATGTTCTGAGAACAAACAATGCTAAAGGCAAATAAGTTTGGGAAAGCCACATTAAATAAATGAATATATAAACCAATATAAATAACAATACATATATGCATATATATCCTCCTTCTTAGAGATTCATGGTATATATTAAAGGTTAAGAAGTCTTGCAGTGAAGACAATGTTCAACTTTAAGTCAGCATTTCCAAAACTTTGACCCTAACAATTTTTCACCAAACAACTCATTAAGAAAAACTAGTATTGTGAAATGTATTTTGGGGAACACTACTCTAATCTAAAAATCTTTTGGTCCTATCCTACCAGGTAAATAACGTACCCAGATTTACATTTACTATAATTGCATATGTACAGCACATCACAATGTCCAGGTACTTCCACTTCCACTTTGCTCATTTGATGCAGGCCACAGAACAGTGCCCATCACATGGTAGACCCACTATTTGTTGAATGAATAAACAAAAATAGTCCCCACAACAACCATGTGAGAAGACTAGAGTAAATTTAATTATCATCTCTACAGAGGAGAACGCTGAGGTTCAGAAATGTTAACCAACTTCTTAAAGGTCACAGAGCCAGAAATAATGGACCCAGGGCTTGACTACAAGTCTGGCTTCAAAATCCCGTTAGTCTGATGGAGTATTAACGTCTTCTGAACAGATTCTTCAAGGACGTCTTAAGCTATTCTTAGGAGTAAACATTAAAATAAAGTGCCGGTAGGAGTCTTAAAGTAAAATCAGTTCCTGCCTATTGAGGTAATACTTATAAACGTTTTTTTAAGAATAAGATACTTAAACAACCATTAGATGCCTATTGAGGTAATACTTATAAACGTTTTTTTAAGAATAAGATACTTAAACAACCATTAGATGGGTTTAAATATGAAAAAATCCAAAATGGGCAAAATTTTAAAAGTCTAGTACATTTAAAGTAATTTGCTGTAACTGCTAAAAAGTAAGAGCAAGAGACCATAACAGAAGACAGTAATAAGAAAAAACCCTAAATTTCAACACATCAAAGCAGACATTTAGTATCCTGAAAATTATATACCATGAATATGGTACATATGGAATATATGATAACTTGTTATGGTATGGAAAACACTTTTTTTGTACTTTAATGTATAAAAATGCATTTAGTTTGCCACTGAGCTCAGCTACCAACATAAATTCAACTTTGGTAGATCACCTGCCACTAGCAGTAAGCAGTAAACATTACTACTGGTGAAAATAATGCATATTTTATAAATAACGACTACTTCTGATCATCTACAGTTTTAGACTGCTCTATTGTGCAACAAATACCATCTTACTTTTTAACATCTGCCACAGAAAAAATTTATTTACATTTTGTTTGGATTCTAATTTTGGGAAAAAAACGTTAAATCAAATATTCTTCATCTTGTTTCTTTAAAAATAATTGTAGCTAGTGATCCTCTTTTGCTAAGATACCACAAACTCTGTAGAAACTTATTTCTGCCACTTATAAAAGTCTGCTCTCAAGGATCTAGGTTTTCAACATAAAAAAAGATCAAGATTAAACAGAAAATCACCATTTGGCAACCATCACAGCAATAATTAATCCAGCCAACAAACATCAAAAGATGCTAAAACCAGAGGGTCAAAGCTGGATAGGGAACAGTTTGATTTATAGTCTCAAAGTACTTCCTTCAGATCAAAATATTTGGTGATTACAGATACAAATCAAAAATACTTATTAATTTCAAAGGGAAAAGAGTAAAGTTATAATGGAGAGACCCAGCAGACAGCAGCTTAATCAAGGAATTAAGGCATGAGACATCACCCATATAGGACAAATCAAACACAGGCTCCACCTGAGAGGAGGCAAAAGGAACTCATCAATCCTTTGGGGATATTCCTGAAGAAAATGTGCAACCTGAATCTAATCATGAAAAAACATCAGATAAAACCATACGGAGGCACATTTTAAACATAACTGACCTACAATCTTCAAAATTGTCAGTTATAAAAGTCAAGAAAAGGCCCAAGAACCATCCCAGTTTGAAAGAGACTGAAGAAACCTGACAACCACATCTAATCTCCATACAGACCTTCAGAGAAAAGGCAAAACCTGGTGACACAGGAGAATGCCCTTGTTAATAAGAAACAGATACTGGAACATTTTGGGGTGACTGGATGGTATGTCAACAACTTACTCTCAAATGGTTCAAAAGAAAAAACTCTTTGTACTATTCTTAGGAAAAAAGATAAAACTTCAGGTGAACTTAAAACCACAAAACCAATAGCATATATTTCTACCGTCTTCAATACTAGTTTCATTTCTTCTGGATTTGAAATGAAAGGTTTTTAAACGAATCATCTACTTTTTTAGTGTTCTGGATTCCTCGGTTCCAGTGGGGTTGGGAGATCCTAAAATTTATGAAAATTCTCAGGCGTACCACTAAGATTAGGGATCTAGCCACTAACAGAAGGAAGATCGAAAATATATTAAGAAAAAGACTGGAACCTAGTATCCTAAGGGCTATCCTCTGGATGCACGCATAATTAGATCTGTAGCAAATTTAAAATAAGTGCTTTTCCAGAAGATGACCGCTACCACAAAGCAGTGGTAAAATATACCAAAATATGTGGCTTCAAGAATGGTTACTTTTACCAGAAACAAACAAGTCTGAAAACCCATACTGCCCGAGACAGATAAATTTTTAATTTTACTGTTTCCTTAATTTCTACATTGCAATAATTCAGAATGTACCGACTTTTTAAAAAAGCGGGCAAGCATATTTTAAAGAAAACAATGAAACATTCACAATAGTACAAGGATACTCTTCAATATGTTACCAATTTAAAGAACAGTTCCTTTAATTTCCCTAAATTTGCTGGTTAAGAATCTCTTACGGTAGAGCTGGAGAATGCAGATTAATAAAAAAAAAAAAAAGTACATTCATTTTTCCAAATGAATTTGGCTTCATCCAAGACACAAAGAAGTCCTTTATAATCTGTTCATAAACACCCTACTAAAACCTTCTTTGTAGGTTTTGTAAACATACTTGTGCAGAAAAGAGTTAACATAGCAGGCTTGAGCCTGTTTTCCCTAGAAAGGTCGGCCTCCAAGGTCAGTTCTTGGTTGGCATCTGGTAAATTGGCTTTCGAGACCCTTCCACAATTCCCAGACTGATAAGGATGGCACACTGTGCCTAAGCTGTTTGTACAAACAGTACAGTTTATGATGAATCCCTGCTTTTCCTCTGGGCATCTGAAATTTTGGAACGTGCTAAAGCAGAGGGTGTCTACGGACTTATGCCAATAAAATCTCTGGGCTCCTGGGCTCAGGTGAGCTTCCCTGGTGGACACCATGTCACACATGCTGGCAATAACTCATTGCTGGAGGAAGTAAGCACGTGCTGGCAGACTCCCCGGGCAGAGGACTCTTGGCAGCTTGTGCCTGGCTTCCTCCAGACTTCACCCCATGTGCCTTTTCCCTTTGCTGATTTTGCTTTGCATCCTTTTGCTCAGTTCTGTGAATCCTCCTAGTGAATCATCAAACTTGGGGTGATCTTAGGGACCCTTGACACTACATTTTAATGCATAAAATTACTTTCTATAGAGTTCTGAGTGTTTCAATACACGGTCATATATACATTAGCAACTTGCAATTGATAACTTTAAGATGACAAAAGACCTAAAGTCCTATATCGCTCATAAAATTATTTACCTTTTTGACTACTGGAGAAACAATACTCAAAAAGATACTGTAACAGTCGTTTTCTCAAAGTTCAAATTTGCAATTTCAACTACAAATATAGTTAATTTGAGATTTTATTACCTGGTTATCGCATACTATTTCTATATGTGTAATTATTTTTAATTCCCTCAAAATGAAAGAAAACTCATCTTTATCCTCAAAAACAAACAAATCCAAATGCAAACTCCTGACAGTTTACTGTCCCTCACAATTCGGATGGTATTTAAAAGGGATGCATTCTTACCATGTGGAGCGATTGTCTGTACCGGCTTAGCGGACGACCTCACGTTCCATATGGTCAAGGTGCCATCCGAATGACTGCAGATGAACTGTTTCCCTTCGTGATGCCAGGCAGCAGAGTGGATGGCCTAGAGAAGAGGGGGAAGAGTCCCATTTTTAAAAACAAAAAGCAACTTAAACACAAAGCTATCCATAATTCGTGTTGTAATTAATTTTCACTTTAAACTTTTTCATATTTCCCAAGCTGAAGTCAATATTTTAACTTGGCATTCCCACAATAATTTAGCCCTCTTGCAATACAAATGAGATTTAATTTGGTATTGACACTATTTTAATTCTTTTAACTTACTCCTTAAGCCAACATAAGGATGATACAATAGCCATATATGCATTATTGACAAGTTCAGGAAAACAAAATGTATTCTTATAGTTTCTTAGAATAAACCATACCTAAACATAAATTACTAAGTAATTACAACCAATATCCCCTCAAAAAAAATAGTTGCTTTGACAGATCAGAACAAATTTTAAACATTAAATAAAATTATAAGAAGATAAAAATGTAGATTTAAGATCAATTAAATTAAAAATTAAGATAAATTAAAAATATCTCAGATTGAGCTTTCAAAACATGCTATCAATTTCTCAAGTAATTATTCAGGTGATTTTTAAAATCTGAAGGGACTCTCTTTTGACTAGAAATTTACTTTATACCGCTGCACCTCTTAAAAGCTATCTGAGAATATTTTTATATGACCAAAGTACATTACCCTCCAATTTTTTTGTTCTAATATTTTCTGTTCGTAAAAATTTTTTTAAAAAATCACTCTCCTAGGTCCTCTTTAAATTACGTCTTTTCAACTTAAGCTGATACACTTCTAGTTCTTAACGGTGAGCTGACTGTAAAAGCTGCCCTATGGGAGCGTCAGGATGCAGAGCGCAGCACAAAACCACGCAACTGAAACTTGCAAGTTCAAGTACGCAGTCAACATTTACTATCACCTCGTTCAATGGCCATTCATTTGGGTTCCTCATATGCTTATAAGTTTAAGTTAAATAAAACAATATTATGGATCATATTTTAAAATTTAAATTACGATGGATAAAGACCATCAGCTGCATTTCTCAATGCCAAGACTACACAATGTTTTAGGTTCAAAGTATCTCTAATAAAATTCTAAATAAAATCTTAAAACAGTAATAACCTTAATCCAAAATATACATATGACATTCTACAAACTCAATCTTAAAATAAGCAATCCTTTAGTAACCTTAACAGACGAAATTATTCCTGCAAAATACGAGTAGTGTTAAGTAGCTATACACAAAGCTATTTATATTTTTCAAAAGTGATAAAGGAAGGACAAGAGAAATCTACAGTGTTGTCTGGAATCTATAAATAAAAACATTCTGATCTTATCATATGTAAAAGTGTATATCATATACATAAATATATATCATAGAGAACTAATATTTCTACTTTGCTTAAAAAATACATCTTTGTTTAAAAGCATCTTTTACTCCTAAGATACTATTAAACTGTTAAGCCTTCCAAAAATAAAATATTAATTATAGGGACCAGCTGTTCACCACTATTCTGAATAACAAAGCGAAACCAATAACACAAAAACTCCATAAAAGAAACAATCAAATATAAACTTTTACATGCAATAAACATGCACAATTTTTTCTTAGTTCTGCAATTTTCTGAATACAAATCCAACTTGCCACAAGATCTCATTTTTTTCTCACAGTCTCTAATACCATTACATGTAATACTACATATATGAAGTAGAAATTTATGTAAACAAAGTGGGAACAGCAAATCTCACTAACCAAATCTGTCACATGCTTAGGATCAGAAAGTAGGTTAGGAGCACACCTGAATAATTTACAGGAGAAGATAAGTGATATAAAGTAGGTAGCATAAATGGGGGTTGAAGAACTTTGTATGTTGGTTGGCTTGTTTATTTTTCCAAGATGTAAAATTTCCAGACGACTTTTAAGTTACCAAATTTTTAAAAAGTGGAAAACTATAGATACAGATGAGTAAGAGAAATAGGTAGGAAGAGAGATCAAGGGCAGAATGAATGGAAATCAGAAGAACAAAATAAACAAGAAATATACAAAAGTTGTGGAGGAACAACAATGAATTCAGGGTAGAGAGAAAACGTGGAAAGAGAAGGAAGGGAGAGGATATAGCTACTGGCATAAGCCACAAAGCAACAGTATACACAATTCTAAAAGTTCTTTTTCAAGATGCAATTGTCTGCAAGAAATAATAACTATTATAAAGCTCATGAGAGAGTTAATGGATTAAGGATCTGACATTAGTATTTTCATCTTTGATAAAACAAACAAACAAAAAGCATAAGTACTGTATACTTGAATACACTTTTTAAAAAAGAGTAATATCTAGTTATTAGGCTTTGGCAAAAGTAGTAGATAAGATGCTTTGTGCTTTCTTATCAAATAAGAGGGCATCTTGAAGCACAATTTTCTGGAAAGAGAACAGGCTATTTATCTATGAAATTTTACAATCACTAACTCAGAATAGTGGGAAAATTGAATAAACTCCCTACCTATTGATTTTGCAAACTAATCAGTATTATTAGAATCACTTCGCAGTAAAGCTGTGTATAAACCGTAGCCCAGCTGCTCTTATATTACACATATACTGATTAACGTTTCTAGCAGACTCACACCAAAAGCAGTTTTTCTCCTACAAAATAAGATTTACCTGATATTCAAAAGCAATATTGATAACTAGTAGTTATACTGGGAATCAGCAAAATTCCCAGCAATTGGGAATTTGCCAAAACCCTTAGAAAAATGTCAACGAAATGATTTTGACTTTATAATGCTTGCAAATACATGGAGAGTAAATAGTAAAAATACTCATTTTGTTTTATTATTCTCATGTAACCAAATAAGAAAGCGAACGCTTAGAGCACTGAATGAATTATTTCTTGCACATATAAATAATACATTAAATTGTGCAGCGTTCGCCCTAGTACTTCAACTTGTGAACATTTCAACATTATTTCTACTATAGAAGGGAAGTGACAGTGACACTATAACTGAACAAGATAATGAGTGAATAATACATTTTATAAGATAGATGATAAAATTACTACATATTGGACATTAAATGATTTATAGCTTCTCTCTCTAGTTAAGATTTTCACAGGCATAAATTGAAAAAACTGCCATTTCCATTAAAAATAAAACCCAAGAGGAATTTTCTTAAATATTTTGAAAATGTGAACAAATTATTCATTCTTTTAAGTATTGTTTCATCTTTGGAGTGTGTGTGTGATCAATCAACAGGAAATAAGCTATCTTAAAAAGAACCTGTCTAAACACTGAAGAAAAGGACCTTAGAGGAATAAATACTTCAATTAATATTGGTAGTATGAAAAATAATTTCTTTAAAGCTGTTATTGATTTCAGCGCTATGAGTTACAAATATATCCTATTTTGATATTCTTTGAAAAAAGACTTCTGACAGTCTTGAGATACAAATGGTACTCACATGCCAGCAAGGTACAAACTATTATTTCTTTGTGTTTAATTACCTATATTTCTATCAGTCGCTTCTCAGTCTACTAGGAAAAACTAACATGAAACCAAAATACAAAAGTCACTGACAAATGACTCTCGAGATATGACAAAGAATAACTATTAAAATAAAGAGGTTCATAAGTATTAAATAATTGTCTTAAAACATCAATAATGCTGTATTTCATTTCTGCCAACATTTTGGTTACTACAAAAAGAATACTGATATTTTAACACTGGTTATAGCCTAAAAGGAATAAAATGTCCCCTGTAGAAATATAATTTTACACAGATTGAAATACTCAGAAAATATCTGTAGAGTTAGGAATACTACCCAAGTATACTCAAAATCTATCATTTAGTCATAACGAGGTGAGAAAAGAGTCTGTCAATTAAAGAGGTACTAACTATGGATATGAAACAACAAAAGCTTAAGGGCAAAGATGGATTTCTGTTCCCATTACTCTCCATCCAACCACCCCAAGAGACCAAATGAAAAGTGAAAGCTGTACCACATTGAAGTTTCATTATATTAGAAATGTTCTGAATTGATATCATAATGCCAGTGAATACATCCTGTGCTAGGGTAATGAAAATGAAACTGAGCGGAGTAACACACTATTGAATACAATGTAAACATCGGGGTGGACAGAAGACAGAGGTAGTATTTTGCAACGGCGTTAAATTTTTAACCCTCACTAATGAGAATTAAATCTATAATAATTTCTTGACTGCCTAAAATTGTAAACTTGGTAAAACCTGCATTAAGTATCATTTTTACATGAACAAAGAGCCTGATAAAATAGCATGAACTCATGGAAATAGAAATCTTCACTCAGTTTACTTTAGAACAATTCAGAAGTTAAAACTTACATCCATAGCACTATCATTTAACCGTAAGAGTTAGTCATTATGTATGTTAATACTTATTCAGAACAAGTTTTTTGACTTTGTATCTCTGTTGCATCTCTGTGCATCAGTCTGAAGTTTTCCCACAATTTCCTTTTCGGGTTTTGGTATGAAGATACCGCTGGCCTCATAGGATGAGTTGGGAAGTGTGCCTTCCTCTCCTTTTGGGAGGAGTTCGGGTACAGTGGGCACTATTTGGTAAAATTCACCAGTAAGCCCACTGAGTCTGGAGTTTTCTTTGTGGGAAACATTGTCATTAAAAATTCAATTTCTCTAATAAATAGAGAGCTACTCAGGTTAACGATTTCGTCTACAGTTAGCTTTAGCACCTTCGAGTAATTTGATGTCTTTCAAGGAATTTGTCCATTTCATCTAAGTTGTTGAATTTACTGGCATTAAATTGTACATATTTCCTTATCAGTCTCCTTGTATTTCTGTAGAAATTGAAGTGATACCCCCTTTCTCATGCCTGGTATGGGTAATTTATGTCTTTTTTTTTTCTCATCACTTTATCTGTTTATCAATTTCATCGATCTTCACAAAATGAAGCTTTTAATTTTATCCATTTTCTCTATTGTCTTCCTGTTATCTATTTCATTGATTTCTGCTCTTTACTATTTCAGTTCTTCAGCTTACTCCAGATTTAATTTTTTGTTTCTTGTAGTGGAAGCTGAAGCCATTGATTTGAGACTTTTATTGTTTTCTAATAGAAGCATTTAATGCTATAGTGAAGGCTTTAGCAGCATTTCATGGACTTCAGTATTTGATGTTTTTTATATTTTTCTCAGTTCAAAATACTTCCTCATTTCCCCTTTATTTCTTCTTTGACCCATGGGTCAAAGTATGTTGTTTCACTTTCAAATATTCACAGATTTTTCATCTTTTAACATTGATTTCTAATTTAATGCTTTTATAATTAAAAAAACATTTCTTAGAATTTATTGAGATTCATTTTATGGCACAAAATACGGTCTGTCTTGGTGAATGTTCCATGTGTACTTAAAAAGAATATGTATTCTGTTGAGTGGAATGCTCTGATATCTGCTTTGCTGATGTTAATAAAGCCACTTTGGCTGTCTTTAATTAGTGCTAACATTACCTCTTCCATCTGTTTTTTTCTAACACATCTGTGTTGTTATACTGAAAGCAGGTTTCTTATAGACAGTATATAGTCGGATCTTATAGACAGTATATACTCCGATCTTATAGACAGTATATAGTTGGAACTTATAGACAGTATATGGCTTTTTAATCCAATTTGACAATCTGTGCCTTTTAACTGGGGGTATTTAAGCCATTTACATTTAATATCTCTTAAACAGAATTAAAAAATAAAAGGGCTTTTATATAACCTACATATTTACCATTTCCAGTGTCTTTCATTCCTTTGAGTAGATCCAAATTTCCATCTCATATCATTTGCCTTCTATATGAAGGACTTCTTGTTTTTTTGCTGAGGAATACTCACCCTGAGCTAACACCTGTTGCCAATCTTCCTCTATTTTGTATGTGGGTTGCAGCCACTGCATGGCTGACAAGTGGTGTAGGTCTGTGCCCGGGACCCGAACCTGTGAACCCAGGCTGCCGAGGCAGAGCACGCCGAACTCAGCCACCAGGCCACAGGGCTGGCCCCTGAAGGACTTCTTTTAATATGTCTTGTAGTGAAAGTCTGCAAGTGATGAAGTCTTTTGACTTTTTTATGTGCACAGAGTGTTTATTTTGCCTTTGTTTTTGAAAAGATATTTTTGCTGGATATAAAATTCTACGCTGACAATTTTGTCTTTCACTGCTGTAAAGGTGCTGCTCTACCATGTTCTGGCTTGCGTGGGTTCCAAGGAAACCACCTGCTATCATTTTTATCTTTGCTCCTCCGATTTAAAGTGGTTGTTTTTAAGATTTTTCTCTATCACTAGATTTAGTTTTAAGCAACTGAAATATGATGAGCTTTTGTGTAGTTTGTTTCCCCTGCTTTGAGCTCATCGAACTTCTGGGACATCTATATATTAGATACTTAGATATCCTAGAAGTTTGCAGGGTTATAGTTTTCATTAAATGTGGAAATCTTGGGGCCATTATTTCTTCAAATACATCTTCCGTCTAAGCCCCCCTCCTGAGATCCTATTACAAACACACTCATGTGCTGATGATGACGTTTCAGTCAATGTTCAGTCAGTTCTGAGTCTTTTTCTATTGACTGCATTTTCTCCTCATTTTGCATGCTATTTTCTGGCTTCCTTGCATACTCATAAATTTTTATTTGGATGCTAGCCACGGTGACATTTATGGTGGGTTATTATTATATTCTTTCATGCATTTTTGAGTCTTTTTTCTGGGATGCAGTTATACTACTTGGAAACAGTTTGGACTTCTCAAGGCCTGCTTTCAAGATCGGTCGGGCTGGTCTTTAGTGCAAGGCTAGTCTGGCAATACCTCTCTGAGGACTCTTGCTGATGCCCTGCACACTGAGAGGTTTCTCCACTCTCTTGGAAATGTGAACTCTTCTCAGCCCTGTGTGTGCTGAGAGAACTGCTCCCCCTACTCCTTCCCAGTGGATTTCCCAACCCCCACCCCCCTGCACTAGTCAGTGTTCAACTGAGGACTCAGGGCAGAGGCTCCCCGCAGACTTTTAAAACTCTCTCTCTCGGCAGTTCTCTCCTCTCTGGAACCTTGCCGAGTCAGCTTCAGATGCCCTGGTCCCACAATCCCCAACTCTGTCTCCTCAACTCAGGGAGGCTGCTGGGCTTCTGCTTAGGTTGCCCCATCATGGGCTGAGACCTGGAAAGTGTCTCCAGGCCACAAGCTAAGGCAATTGAAGCACTCACCTTGTTTGTGCCCCTCTCGAAGGAATCTCTGGTTCTACACTACCTGCTGTCTAATTTCTAAGAACTGTTGTTTCCTATGTTTTTCCAGCGTATTTGCTTAAGGTGAGATGGTAAATGCAGCCCCTATCACTCCATAATGTCTAAGCCAATATCACTACTTAAATTTACAAAAAGTAAACCAAAAAAGTCAATCTTGTAAATCTTCTTTCATTTTAATGTAGAAAGTAGATCTTCAGGCCAAAACTTCCCTAGAAATGGCAGATTTTTGTTTTTTACTTAAAATATTAAAAATACTCTTTTTTTATATTTCAAGATCTTGATTAGCAAGCCACACAATGCTAACTGAAAAGCTTTAAAAACAAAAAGTAGACAGCCATGAAAACAATTCTCTTTCAGTTATGCTTACCAAGATAACATGCAGACATTGACAAAGTATTCCAAGTATTGCTATAGTTACTCAATTTAGTCTGCCATTCGACTAACTGAAAACATCAACGTGAAGACGTGATATAGTCTATCTTAAAAATAAGCAAAACCACTAACACATTTCCTAGCTCTATTGACTGAATTGGAAATTGTGAACACTCCTAGTACCAATATTATGATTTAGTGGCATTTCACACCGAAAGAAGCCACAGTTTTATGGACAAAGATCTTATTCTAAGTTTGGGACAGAAATATACAAGATTAATAGGTATCCTTTGTTATAACAAATAGCAAGGAAGTTATCCAAGACTATTACCACCAAAGGACTCAGGAACCAACTAGGGGAACAAAGGCGGGACAATGTGAAAATCAATACGGATTATAAAGTTAATGTACCGAAGCGCATCAAATGTGTTTAAACCTTTGAGCACATAGTGAAACTAAAAACAAGAAAAAATTGGTCACTACCGAGATTACTAGAGAACAACCCCTTTAGAGTAAATACTGAAACGAAAGCAAAGAATCAAGCATTTATCCTGCCTTTCCTATATGAACTGTACTACCGTATAACCAATTAGTACATGAGAGGAAGTTTCTTTTTACTAAAGTATACTAGCTAATACAGAAGGAATTATAGAATTAGAACATCCCCATTTTGCAACTGCTATGCACTAACAGATCCAGGCCTTGGACATCACTGGCTGCTAATATCAAAACAGACATTAACATTCCACCTAACAGGAGAGCATCATCTGTGAAGCAGTCTTCCTAAAAATCAAAAATGAACCTGAATTTGATGAAGCCTCAGTAAACAATCCCATTTATAGGAAATCTAAGGGTAAAAAGAGATGTTAAACACAAGAGGGATACAGCCAGAAAATGCTAGTCTTTGGGAAGACTCTAGCTTCATCAAATAAAAGGCAAAAAAGAAGGAATGAGGTAAAGAAAGGCAGGAAAGAGTAAGAGGAGAGTAAACAGTTTAAAAGAGACTTAAAACACTTACCAAAATCAATCACAATCAATCTTTATTTGGATCTTAAAGCAAGCAAACTATAATGTCTACATTATACCATCATTTGTATAAAATAAAAAATAGAATACCTTTATTAATTTGTTTATAAATGCACAGAAAGCCTCTGGAAGAACACGAGAAACTGGTTAACACTGGTGCCTGGCGTAAGGGAACTGGAAGGCCAAGTGACAGTGTGGGGAAGAGGTTTTTCTATCTTTGGAGCTATGTGATTATCTGCTATATATTAAAGAAATTTCTGTTATTGCAATTACAAAGGTTGCCTAAACTAAAATCACCTATTAAGTTCTTAGAGGAGCTGCTCTGAACTACAGAAACGACAACAGCTTTTGATTAGCAAAAATAATGTTATTACCTCATCGTACGTGTATCTGTAGTCGGCTTTCTTTGATTTGAGGTCCCATAACACTACTGTTCCAGATTCAAAGCCAATCAAAAGCTGTAATAAAAGAAAATGCCACATTATCCAGGAATGATATTAATTATATGAAACATGTATTTTCTGACAGTAAGGATAACTATTACCATTCATACACTTCAAGTATAAAATTATAATATAATTCAACACCTGCATTGCTAATTACTAATCACATGGATGACAAATGAGAACACTGATTGCATATTTATATACCTTTGACGATTAGGGACTCAACAAGTATCATACAACTGATTACTCAAAAAGAAAACAGTACCATTCTGAAGTCCTGAGTATACACTTTCATTAACTGATATAATAAATTACTAATAAAAATTAACATTTGTGTGTGCTTCAGAGTTTACAAACTTTCCTAATTCAACACATTTCAGTCAATCTCATTTACTCATCTATATACCGATTAGTTCCAAATTATATCCAGCCTAGACCTCTCTCATGAGATTCAGACTCCTAATTCCAGTGGCCACATCTCCACTTATTTACTCCATAAGAACCTCACAGGAAACGTGTCCAAAGCGGTTCACTATTTTCTGGTATTCTCTGCTGCGGTCTCTTTCTCTCAGAATTCCTCATCTCAACATTCATTAAGTCACTCAGGCAAAAAGCTGGGGGTCATCCTTAACTCTAGTCTCTTACCCATCAGGTAAGGTCATCAAGTAATTTTAAAACTACATTGTAATATCTGATTTCCTTTCCTCCATCTCCAACACTTCTCTCCTGGTTCAAGACACAAAGATGTCTCTTCTGGTCTCTGGTCTCCCTGATTCCAGTCTTCTTCCTTTTTTTAACCCACTCCACAGTGTAGCTAGAGTAATAGTTCTAAAATGCAAAGCTGCTCATGTAATGTATGCTTTTATAGAAAACTTTTTAACGTTTTACCATTAGTTTTAGGATAAAGGCTGAACTGAATAATATGACCTACAAGATTTGTCATGGTCTGACCTCTGCTTACCTCTTCAGCTCCATCCTTTACCACATCCTTCTTACCCAATACACTCCAATACATCTTTCAGTTCACGCTCTCTCTTACCTCTGAGCCTTTGCACATGCCGTATTCCTACCTGGGCCACTCTATTCGAATGTCATCCTCTTTGACTGACTAATCCTACTAATCCTTCAGATGTCATTTTAGCTATCACTTCCTCCAGGAAGCCTTCCTTGACCTACTAAATGTAAGTCAATGCCCTTCGTATGTGCTCCAACAGCACTCTGTACCGTTTTGTAATCTGAAGGGTCACTACACATATAATAACGGCCTTTTCCTTATCTGAATTCTCCTGCAGACTATAACACTGGTCAATTTAGGCAAGGACTGGTGTTATCTTGTTCAGCACTGTAGTTCTAACATAAGATACAGGGCCTGAGCAAGAAGAAGAAATAAAAGGAATCCAAATAGGCAATGAAGAAGTGAAACTCAATGTTTGCAGATGACATGATCTTATATATAGAAAACCCCAAAGAATCCATAGAAAAACTATTAGAAACAATCAACAACTACAGCAAAGTTGCAGGGTATAAAATTAACATACTTAAATCAGTAGCATTTCTATACTCTAACAACGAACTAACAGAAAAAGAACTCAGGAACTCAATCCCATTCACAATCACAACAAAAAGAGTAAAATACCTTGGGGTAATTTAACCAAGGAAGTGAAAGACCCATACAAAGAAAACTACAAGACTTTCCTGAAAGAAACTGATGACAACATAAAGAGATGGAAAGACATTCCATGCACATGGATTGGAAGAATAAACATAGTTAAAATGTCCATTCTACCTAAAGCAATCTACAGATTCAACGCTATCCCAATCAAATCCCAACAACATGCTTTACAGAAATTGAACAAAGAATCCTAAAATTCATATGGGGCAAAAAAGACCCCAAATTGCTAAAGCAATGATGAGAAAGAAGAACAAAGCCGGAGGTATCACAATCCCTGACTTCAAAGCATACTACAAAGCTACAGTAACCAAAACAGCATGGTACTGGTACAAAAACAGGTGCACAGATCAATGGAACAGAATTGAAAGCCCAGAAATAAAACCACACACCTATGGACAGCTAACCTTCGACAAAGGAGCTGAGGGCATACAATGGAGAAAAGAAAGTCTTTTCAACAAATGGTGCTGGGAAAACTGGAAAGCCATACGTAAAAGAATGAAAATTGACCATTCTTTTTCACCATTCACAAAAATAAACCCAAAATGGATCAAAGACCTAAAGATTATACCTGAAACAATAAGTCTTCTAGAAGAGAATATAGGCAGTACACTCTTTGACATCAGTTTCAAAAGAATCTTTTCGGACACCATAACTCCTCAGACGAGGGAAACAATAGAAAGAATAAACAAACGGGACTTCATCAGACTAAAGAGCTTCTTCAAGGTAAGGGAAAACAGGATTGAAACAAAAAAACAACCCACTAGTTGGGAAAAAATATTTACAAGTTATACATCCGACAAAGAGTTAATCTCCATAACATATAAAGAACTCACACAGCTCAACAACAAAAAAATCAAACAACCCGATCAAAAACTGGGCAGGGGACATGAACAGACATTTCTCCAAAGAAGATATATGGATGGCCAATAGACACATGAAAGGATGCTCATCATCACTAATCATCAGGGAAGTGCAAACCAAAACTACACTAAGATATCACCTTACACCTGTTAGAATGGCAAAAATATCCAAAACAAAAAGTGACAAATGTTGGAAAGGTTGTGGAGAAAAGGGAAACCTCATACACTGTTGGTGGGAATGCAAACTGGTGCAGCCACTATGGAAAACAGTATGGAGATTTCTCAAAAAATTAAAAATAGAAATAACTTATGACCCATCGATCCCTCTACTGGGTATCTAACCAAAGAACTTGAAATCAGCAATTCCAAAAGTCCCATGCACCCCTAGGTTCATCACAGCATTATTTACAATAGCCAAGACATGGAAGCAACCTAAGTGCTCTTCAACTGATGATTGGATAAAGAAGATATGGTATATATATACAATGGAATACTACTCAGCCATAAAAAAGGATAAAATCATCCTATTCACAACAACATGGATGGACCTTGATGAGTATTACGTTAAGTGAAATAAGCCAGATAGAGAAAGACGAACTCTGTATGACTCCACTCATAGGTGGAAGTTAAACATACAGACAAAGAGAATTGATTGGTGGTTACCAGGGGAAAGGGGGGGTGGGGGGAGGGCACAAAGGGTGAAGTGGTGGACCTACAACATGACTAACAATAATATATAACTGAAATTTCACAAGGTTGTAAACTATCACAATCTTAATAAAAAGTTTAAAAAAAAAAAGATACAGGGCCTGAGATGTTGTACGTACTTACTACACTTTTTTGTGAATAAATAACTTCCAGAATGGAATGCATGTTCTTGCCTCACAAACTGTCCACTGTCTATCCAGCCTCTGCTGCCCACCACCCCCTGCTCCAGCATTTTCCAAATCTCAGCATTCCCATTGCTTGAAACCTCCTCCCCTCTATTATCATTCACTGAGCAATCTTCTATTCATTTTTAAGTCTCAATTTAGCGTTGCTTCCTTGGGTCAGCCTCCCCAATTCCTCCAGACAGACTAAGATGCTCCTTCTCCTATGCTACTACCTGCATTTTCATCTTCATGTCTCTAATACTGAATATATTGCCTAATACACAGCAGACACTCAATAAATATTTGCTTAATGAGTTCACAAAGCATTAGAAGGTAGCCAATACTTGCTCATGTAACCTGGGGATATAAACAAAGTTTGGGGCAGAGCCAGTAATTTTAATGAACTAGAAATTTAGTTGATTTCAGACTACAGGTAGTGGGCATTTAGAGGGGCCAATCACTGAAGTTAACAAAACACATTTTCCCACCTTGGCAGAGGGTATAGTTAAATTTTCCTAACATAAACTCTTCTTTCCTAGGCAATCAGACATATACTTCTGGGAAAAACTGGTATTTGTTTCCTTTACCTTTCCCAGTCCTTCTCAGTATCTTAGACATGAGACATTGCATTTTCTGATGGGGAAGTAGGAGAGGAACTTCAGCAATGAGGAAAGAGACGGAAAAGGATACAATTTAAGAACTGATGGACAGGGGCAGGCCCCGTGGCCAAGCGGTTGGGTTCGCGAGCTCTGCTTGGTGGCCCAGGGTTTCACAGGTTCGGATCCTGAGCATGGACATGGCACTGCTCATCAGGCCATGCTGAGGCACCTCTCACATGCCACAAGTAGAAGGCCCACAACTAAAATATACAACTATGTACTGGGGGGATTTGGGGAGAAAAAGCAGAAAAAAAAAGAAGATTGGCAACAGTTGTTAGCTCAGGTGCCAATCTTTAAAACAAAAAAAAGGAACTGATGTACAGTGTAAACAGCACCAGACTATACTCTGGACACAGGTAAAGTAAGCTCCAGTCTTAGATCTGCCACTTGGTAGTCATGTAACTTTAAGGAAATAATTTTTCTCATCTAGATCTTAGTAACATAAGAAGGTTAAAGTTTTACCTCTCTTATCAGATCTAACGTCCTAAAACTGTTAGAAATCTGGGCCAATAGGTTAGACTTTAATTCCCATAATCTCCTAAAAATGTTACTTAAACTTAGAAAATTCTTTCAATGTTTACTCCTACTAGAATCTTTTATAACTCAGACTGAGTTAATTTATGTACTGTTGACTGGTTTCCTTTTAATTTTTCTCTCATAGAAAGCATTAGTGGGTACACTGAGTATGGATACGGCTCTCAACAACATCAATAACTGATCACATCTTCCAGAGGAAATACAGCATGATGGACAGTACTCTGGGGTTAAACCAGAGACATCAGTGTTTAAAATCCCAGCCTCACCAATATCTAGCTTTGTGCCTCTGGAACACATACTCACAACAAGTCTCTGCCTCGTCATTTGCAAACCAGGGAGGAAATCCAACAAAATTTGTTGGGAGGATCAAACCAAATAGTGTATATATACAGTGGAAAGCACAGTGCCTCACACAAAGTAGAATTCAGTAAATGGAAGTCATTACTGTTACTATGGTAAGCAACGTTACACAGGTGCCTAGGACCTTCGCCTCGCGTGGTGGCAGCCGGGGGAAGCTGCCCTATCACTTCTGCTTTCCTTTAGTGACGCAACGTCACAGAGACCTATGGAAACAGGGAAGAGTCATCGATGTAGTTAACCTGGATTTTTCTATTAGAAGTCAAAGGTTAGACAATATAGTCTATTCTAGCACCCTAATATTTCAAAAATGTGTGAATGAGATTGACTCTGGGAACTAAGGAGAATAATCCACCAGGTCTCCAAAAATGAGGATGCTATCAACAATTATATATAATTTATACAATAAATTAATTACAGGAGTTACTATTTATATTGTATGTTGGGTGCTATGGGAAATGTAAAGCTCGTAAATCTTATCTCTGTGCTCGAGGAGTCTTTTGAGATCAGGGGAGCTGAGACATGCACGCATTTCTCATACAAGCCAACATGTGGTAAATACCATAAAACTTGTACAACTAAGGTGCTAATGAATTTTGAAGTGAGAGAAAGCACTTTCTGTGAGGATCACCAGGAAAGATATCATGAAAGATATATATCTATCTGAGTCTCAACATAGGGGTAGGAATTCAGCAGAGAACATGAGAAAGAACTCCAAGCAGAGGGACTCACAGGAACAGGGCACGGAGGCAGCAAAGAGGAGCTCACACTGGGGAAACAACAGCTATTTGCTTCAGCCCAGCATTCAGGGAAAGATGTTCTGAAAGATCATGAAACCTGGGGCTACGCTTTAAGGAAACTTTATTTTATCTGTTAGACACTGCAGAACCACTGAACGCTTTCGAGCAGGAGAGTGTAAGATTAAAATGGCACTCCGGGAAGACTGATCTGGAAACGATTCAAGAACGAGTTACAACACCTTGAACTTCATGGTCACAGTGAGCCTGAATAGAAGAGAGACACTGCAAACGGAAGGACTGAAACGCTTAGTGACTGATTCGAGGCAGGAGGGGAAGTTTTCAGTTCTGCTGCCGCCATGCTTTCCACTCAAAGGCTTGGCTATTAAGTGGGTATCTTGTACCAAAGAAAATAAAGTGAAGATACAGGTTACTGTAATTTGCTTCAGGTAAAGCTTCTCTCGAAACACACAATTATATGATTATAAGCTAACTCCAAACAGGACCATTATCCTTTGGTTTTCCCAGTGGCAAATAAGAGAACAGTGTTACCCAACATACAGGCTTCACCACTCCCACAACTGAGGAAGGAAAAATCTGGGTAAATGTCTTCACGAAATCCAGAGGTTTCATTTCACCGATTTCTGATAGTGATAAACTTCCTGGTATTTATGTAGGCTAATACCATAAAATTCAATAAGCAGAAAAGTATCACTAAAGAGAACTACCTGAAAAATTGGTTTGAATTAGAAAACAGAGATTCACGGGAAAGGAAATTTTATCATTTTTAAATGTATTAATGAACCTAAATTAACAATAGCTAGATAGTGGCTGTATGAAACATTTCAGAGTATAAAAAAATAAAGGAATAGTTTAAAAAATCTCTACATTGTTAACCTGAGCTCTTTATGAAGATGAGAGACAGAGACAACTTTGATGGAAGGCATTATGAGGTAAGTGCTACAAAGACCGTACAACCAAAGTGTTAAAAAGAATCCAAAACCAAAAAAACCAGTTTTTGTCAGGATTATCAGAGATCAGGGGAAATATTCTAAAGAAGCCAAAAATAAACTAATAACCTTTGATTGTATTTATTAAATTTTAAGTGTTTTAGGGTAAAACTGTAAATGAGTCTAACTCTTTCACTTGTTCTACATGATGTATAACTAAGCCATTAAGTGCATACGATATACAACCTTCGTTAGCAATCTCAACTCTGCAAGGGAATTGTGGCTCTAGAATAGTTTGCATATTTTTTAAAAATACCAAAATTCATGCATTTAACTAATAAACTTTTAGAAAAAAATTCTACCTTTCCTTCATCCATCGGATTATCACTTATATGGACGACAGGTCCTGGGTGAGATTTAGATGAGCTAAAAGAGAAAAATAAGATTTTTTTTCTCAATTAAAAATTCAATACAACTATATATTCATTACAATAAGAATAATAAATTGAAAATAAAGATATATTTATAAATGAAAACATTTCAGTAAAGGATCAATGAGAGATGTATAGAGGAAAAATAGTGACGCTTGTGTTGATACAAGTCAACAAAATTTACAATAAAGCATACTTTCTGTACAGGAAAGAATCTTCAATTCACTATTTAGCACAGAAAATCTATTCTCATGATAGAATTCTCAGAGTTACTATCTTTAACTAAAGCAGCATCTAGAATGTTGCTATGTTATTGTACTCAATTCTAGCCTCTAACTGGGGCCTCTCATCCAAAAACAAGTTCACACCAAAAACAAGAAAAATTCTATTGTTTAAAAAAATATCAAAAGTAATGCCACCTTTACTTGCACAGAGAAAAAGAAATACAGGCAAGAATGTAGCAAAACTGATGTCTCTACAGTGGGAATAAGCACCTCCCTATGCATAAAGTCTGTGGGTGCAGATCGGTCCACTTCATGAGAGCCACCATCTGCGAAACCACAGACACCCGCACCAGGCCCACCGACTAGACGCTGCGATCAACTCAAAAAACAGACCACGGAAACCCACCCCTGTACCAAGGGACTGAGCTGACACAGGAAGGAAAACCAGGCTTAAATATATATCACAGCTGCACCAACTCATTACTTAAGAGATATGCCACAAATTTATCCTTATGTCAAATTCTGTGGAATGCAACGATACAGAACTATTTGTTTAGAAACAAAAACAGTGAAAGTGAATCTTGCCAATATCCTTAAATTTTGATTTTATGTCTAAATAATAAAAGAAAAACTTAGAGAAAGAAAGAAGACACAAAGATAAGATTCTAAGACAGAGTGAAGAGTTAGTGTTAAAGATCCCTAGGGCCCTACAGCTCAACGCAGTCTTTGTTGTTGTTGTTAAATGAAAACAGCCATCATTATATCAAAATTAAGAAAAATTAACTGTCAAATTAATTCTGCAATGTTACATTGCAAACATTTCCATTATATTTGCTGATCATTAAAATATAAAGTAGTGGTTTAGATCAGCGTTTTCCAAACATTGGTGGCAACCCATTAGTGGGTCATGAAATCATTTTAGTGGGGTATGATGAGCATTTTAAAGAAACATAATTAGAAGATAAAAGAACAGAAAAAAATTGGAGTTTTTTTTACCTAATAAGAATAATTGTTTCATTAAACTTGTGCTACAAGTTTACATATATGTGAACATACGCATATATAATATGTGTATATATCTATATATATATATATATAAAGCTTTTAAATTTACAAACTGCAAACAGGAAAATGCAAAAAGCTAATAAATCTGTATTTAACATCAAGAATGTCTGACACATTTAATTACACATGGATTTACTGATTAGCTATTATACAATTTTATCATACATGGTACTGATACTTTCAGATATGGAATATTTGCTCAGACTCACAGTTCAATGGCTTTATTCCACATAATGACGTAGCCTGAGAGTGTGAAGGACTCCACATTGACAATATGGATATTACCTCGCTCGGTGCCCACATAGAGCCACTTACTCTGGAAAGGCAGATGGCAAAATGTTACCCTGCAAGAGAAAATACATCCAAAAAGGAAATCAGCAAAACGTCTGGTAAATTTTATTAACTGTTTTAGAGGATTAATCATGATATATATATATATATATATATATATATATATATATAATTTAGGTAAAGCAAACATGATATACAACCATCAGATTTATCTACTCATTGTGGTTAATATTTAATTATGCTAATTCAACTTATATGTCAAACATAAGGCCATACAATAAATAGACAGCATGGCTTGACAGAAAGAAGATGAATTTTGAAGTTAGTAAGTGTTGCAAATCTGGCTATGTCCCCGACTAATTGCGTTACTTCAGGGATATCACAAATTCAACCTTTAAGCCACAAGCTAGGAGTCTAATATCCACACCACACCTGGGTACTACTGTCTTTCTCCGGAGTTATTAAACACACTAATCCATCTTAGGACCTATGCTTACTATTCCTTCCAGGCAAAATGTTCCTCCAGCTCATATTTTTCTTCTATTCAAGATTCAGTTCAAAGATCACCTGCATTCAAACTGCTGTCCCAATACTGTGCATCTCTAACAGGCCGGCCTCGTGAGAGAGCCGGGGTCTCCCTTCCTCACCAGCTCGCAGGGCAGAGATCCTCTGTCCTCAGCCCTACACACGGTTACTGAAACATGCCCGAACTCTCTCCTCCATGTCCTGATGATATGGGAGGCCCTGAATAACAAATTATAATGATTTACATGCATATCTTAAACTTTATTATCATTCCAACAATTTCAAACATTTTCTGTACTAGTTCTTTTGATTTCAAGGTAAACAATGGAAACTCTCTTATCTTAACCTTTTTGTAGCTCTTATTTTTAGAAAAACGAAAAGGCAGTATGTTATGAAACCATATAACGCTCTGTCTCAGATTACCTATTGTGTCTCTCAAAATATACTACTCAAATTTTCAATAGAAATAATACAGACTTCAAATAACACACAGTGATAATTATCACTGCTAGACAGTCAGTACCGACAGCAGGCACTAGGCAGGATGTGGTATACAGAAAATCCACTAACCCCATTAGCACAACTTCATTACCGAATTTTTCAAGATGAAAATACTTCTCAAATAAATGGACATGCAAGTAACTCACGACCTCCCTATTTCCTAGAGGGAATGTTCATTTAGACACTTATTTAAGGGCTATCATCTGTCTTTTTTGTTGAGTGTTTTCTATAACATGTCTTTTTAAAAGATTTATGTAAATTTAACAAAGCACGGGAATGTCTAAATGATGACAGAAATGTCAAAACATTTTATAGTACCTTATTGCTTCACAAGGCAGAAAGTCCACAGTACCTTTCTAAAGACTTTAGGGCCATACAGGTTTCAGAATTCAGAATTTTCTAGATTTTAGAAAGGTATGTAACACATACTTTGTATACTACCCAACATAGGGGTAGTATCTAGTAAACACACTGAACGTTTTCTGAGGTATAATTTTTGGCAGTTTTTTTTAACTGAGATATAATTGTCACATAACATTATATTAGTTTCAGGTGTACAACATAATGATTCAACATAAGTATAAACTGCAAAATAATCACAATAATTCTAGTTAACATCCATCACCACACATAGTTAGAAATCTGTTTTTTCTTGTCATAACTTTTAAATCTACTCTCTTAGCCACTTTCAAATATATAAGACAGTATTATTAACTATAGTCACTGGCAGTTTCTTAAAAAGTTAAACATACACTTGCCATATGCTCAACCCATTCCATTCCTAGGTATTTACCCAAGACAAAGGAAAGCATATGTCTATATAAGACTTGTACACAAATCTTCATAGCAGCTTTGTAACAGCCCCAAACTGGAAACAATCCAAACGTCCATCAAGAGGTAAATGGATAGAGATTATAACACAATACTATTCAGTAGTAAAAAGGAATAAACTACTGATACATGCAACAACATTGATGAATCTCAGAATCTTTATGATGAATGAAAGAAGCTAGACAACAAAAGATGTGTTGTATGATTCCATTTATATACAATTTATAGGCAACAGAAAATGGCAACCAGTCTGTTGTAACAGAACGCAGCATCAGTGGCTGCCTGAAGATTGTGGGCGTGGAGGCTAGTGACAGAAGAGGGGTGGGATGACCACAAGGAAAGATTTTGGGGTGATGGGCAGATTTGTTATCTTGATTGTGGTGACAGTTTCACGGGTGTATGCATGTGTCAAAACTTAGATGGCACACTTTAAATATGTGCAATTTATTGCATGTCAATTACACCTAAATAAAGATATTTTAAAACTCTTTGTTTTCAGAGCTCTGTGGATTAGGAATTATGAAAACAGACTGTGATTCTGATTAATACACAGGCACGACGAGCTCTGGAGGGAGGCCGCCTGGATTTAGTTTCCAACTCTGTCACTCACTAGCACGTGTGTGACCTTAGGTAAACCAGCCAATCTCGCAGAGCCTCAGTTTCTAAGCAATGAAGAACATCTGCCTCACCGTGCTCACCTGAGGATCAAATAAGACAGAGCGAGGCAGATGCTAAAATGGGGCCTGACAGTAAGTGTTCCATTAACGACAGCGATTTCTGAAACGAAGTGATATTCCGCCAGACAGAAGCCATAGATGAGTTTTAACTACATGAAGTAAGAAAAGTGGCAATAGCATGCCAGATATAGAGTGAACAATGCAATGCAAACATCACAAAAACAACTATTTCATTTGAAATGTGCCTTAAACTAAAACACGAATATAGCTAAACATTTTGAAAGTGCAAAAATAATTTCAAAATAAATAAGCCAAAATAATGACAGGTTGACCAAAAAAAAAAAACCCCCAAAGCAGAAATAGCCAACATCCTGATCTGTTCTATTTTGCAATTCTCCATTATTTTTCACTCTACAAAAGCAGTAGCTGATTTGTTTAATACAATTACATGACCCATCTCTGATTTTAACACTAACAAAGTTATTTACGTATGCTTAAAAAATTTAAACTTAACTCCTTAAGGGCAGAGATTTTGGATATATTATACAATATCTTCTGTTGCTAGCATAGCAGCTGCATACTGCTATTTTTTCTGTATTGTTTCTTAAATAATTTTAAAAATGAAGTAAGAATAAATTCACTGCTGAGGAAAAAATCTAGAACTTTTCCTAGACTCGCTTTTTCAATATTAGCTACCACCATAAGATTTTTTTTCTCAGTCAACTGTAAAACCAACTTGTAGCAATGGGAAATTTTAAGCATCTTTACGTTTTTCAGAAGTGAGAACCATTTAGCATTAAACATTTTTAGAAGGAACTTAAAATGCTCACTTAATTATCTGGCACCAAGACTTTAATATGGTCCCTAGAATGAGTTTTGTACACTTTTTAAAAAATACAAAACACAGGACTGTATCTGTACAATATATCACCAAATTTAAAAATTACTCTGCTCCATAACTACCCTCACTATTTAAGTCAATTGAGAAGGGGGAAGGTGAAAAGGTTTTTATCACAATTAGCTTGAGAACTTCTCAACTAGTAAATTTTAACGGCTCTGAACATGTGGGAATAGGAATAGTGAAAAAACTAAAATTCCATGTTGCCATCAAATGAAATCATGTCATACGGTGACTTAGGGAAAGGCCACTAAGAAAAAGTGGTTCCCCAAAACATACTACTAGAAAAGCTACTCAGCCAGCACGCCCCACGCAGAACGGCATGATTCCAGATTGTGGGCAATCTGACCAGTCAGTTACCAAGATGTGAAACTGGGAGTCGAGACAAACTGGACTTGATTTACAATACTTAACAGTGTTCTTTCAATTTGTTATAGAAACACAACCTTATTTCCTTGTTTACAAAGAATCTTAGCCTTCTTTGTTGCAAGTTTAAAGAATAAAGAATATGCAAGCTTTCGTGTAATAACTAAATTGATGAAAAATTATATCGATTGATTATGTAAAAGGCGTCATGTGTATTGGAGCACTTAAAACCGTATATACATAACACGTGTATATGTGTAAGTGCGAGTATATATGTAGAGACAGAGAAGAGAGATTTGCTGTTGTCATTTAATGACTATAAGAAAGTGATCCATGATAGAAAGCTAGTATTTTTCTAAAAGTAGTCATGAAACAAATGGCACTGAATAGCCTTGGGACAAACAGATTTCAAACTTAAGGAGTTCAGATCAATAGATGCAAAAAATACTGAAAATTACCACAGTAATTGCCTCCAAGAGATTTCATCTCCCTCCCTGTATCCTCCCCAGGTATAGTCTTCCCCCGACATGGATTCTGGGATTGATCACGTGACTTGCCTCAGCCAATGGAATATTAGCAATTGTGCCATAAGCAGAGTTGAAAAGTGCTTGTACTTCTGGGCTTGCTCTCTTATGCTTTTGGAACCCAGGTGCCAGGTGATGAAGCCCAGACTCCAGTGTTGGAGACACTGGCCCAGTCCATAACCAGCCCCAACCACCAGACATGTGAGTAAGGAAGCTAGACCATCCAACACCGTTTCATAAGTGACTATAGTGGAAGACCACTCCTGCTGAGCCCAACCCAGGCTGCTGACACACAGAACCGTGAGCAAACAAAATGGTTTTAATTTTAGCCTCTTAAGTTTTGGGATGATGTGATATGCAACAATAGATACTTGATCTTTTACATAATATAATTCTATTCAACTAACATCTTCTCAGTTGAAAACGAAGAAAAACTATAAAAACATATGGAAAAAAAATCCTTATACTTCTACAATTATGTTAAAAAAAAAACAAAAAAAACCCAGGAAAACTTTTTAGGAATGCAAGCAGTGCATGTCTCATGAAGCTAAAACAGTACCTTGGATTAAAATCAAATTCACAAGTACTGTTTTTCATATACTTTATTACAAAGATTAATTTTATTTTAAGGTGGTATAGATCATAATAAATGACAATGACTTCAGTTTTTACTGATACCAGGAGACCAATTTAAGTTTATTTGCTGACGTATTAGTAGAGCATCAAGTTAT